ACACATGTTCATTAGGTAGGTGATCATGGCTCTCCACAACTTCCTATCCTTTGCAGCTCTTAGTAAGGTTTGTCTTTTCATTATCTCTCCCAATCCCTGTTCTGCCATCCATTTACACATGTTCATTAGGTAGGTGATCATGGTTCTCCACAACTTCCTATCCTTTGCAGCTCTTAGTAAGGTTTGTCTTTTCATTATCTCTCCCAATCCCTGTTCTGCCATCCATTTACATGTTCATTAGGTAGGTGATCATGGTTCTCCACAACTTCCTATCCTTTGCAGCTCTTAGTAAGGTTTGTCTTTTCATTATCTCTCCCAATCCCTGTTCTGCCTGCCATCCATTTACACATGTTCATTAGGTAGGTGATCTTGGTTCTCCACAACTTCCTATCCTTTGCAGCTCTTAGTAAGGTTTGTCTTTTCATTATCTCTCCCAATCCCTGTTCTGCCATCCATTTACACATGTTCATTAGGTAGGTGATCATGGTTCTCCACAACTTCCTATCCTTTGTAGCTCTTAGTAAGGTTTGTCTTTTCATTATCTCTCCCAATCCCTGTTCTGCCATCCATTTACACATGTTCATTAGGTAGGTGATCATGGTTCAACTTCCTATCCTTTGCAGCTCTTAGTAAGGTTTGTCTTTTCATTATCTCTCCCAATCCCTGTTCTGCCATCCATTTACACATGTTCATTAGGTAGGTGTCATGGTTCTCCACAACTTCCTATCCTTTGCAGCTCTTAGTAAGGTTTGTCTTTTCATTATCTCTCCCAATCCCTGTTCTGCCATCCATTTACACATGTTCATTAGGTAGGTGATCATGGTTCTCCACAACTTCCTATCCTTTGCAGCTCTTAGTAAGGTTTGTCTTTTCATTATCTCTCCCAATCCCTGTTCTGCCATCCATTTACACATGTTCATTAGGTAGGTGATCATGGTTCTCCACAACTTCCTATCCTTTGCAGCTCTTAGTAAAGTTTGTCTTTTCATTATATCTCCCAATCCCTGTTCTGCCATCCATTTACACATGTTCATTAGGTAGGTGATCATGGTTCTCCACAACTTCCTATCCTTTGTAGCTCTTAGTAAGGTTTGTCTTTTCATTATCTCTCCCAATCCCTGTTCTGCCATCCATTTACACATGTTCATTAGGTAGGTGATCATGGTTCTCCACAACTTCCTATCCTTTGTAGCTCTTAGTAAGGTTTGTCTTTTCATTATCTCTCCCAATCCCTGTTCTGCCATCCATTTACACATGTTCATTAGGTAGGTGATCATGGTTCTCCACAACTTCCTATCCTTTGCAGCTCTTAGTAAGGTTTGTCTTTCATTATTCTCTCCCAATCCCTGTTCTGCCATCCATTTACACATGTTCATTAGGTAGGTGTCATGGTTTCCACAACTTCCTATCCTTTGCAGCTCTTAGTAAAGTTTGTCTTTTCATTATCTCTCCCCAATCCCTGTTCTGCCATCCATTTACACATGTTCATTAGGTAGGTGATCATGGTTCTCCACAACTTCCTATCCTTTGTAGCTCTTAGTAAGGTTTTTTTCATTTTCTCCCAATCCCTGTTCTGCCATCCATTCCCACATGTTCATTAGGTAGGTGATCATGGCCACTTCCTATCCCAGCTCTTAGTAAGGTTTGTCTTTTCATTATCTCTCCCAATCCCTGTTCTGCCATCCATTTACACATGTTCATTAGGTAGGTGATCATGGTTCTCCACAACTTCCTATCCTTTGTAGCTCTTAGTAAGGTTTGTCTTTTCATTATCTCTCCCAATCCCTCCATTCTGCCATTCCATTTACACATGTTCATTAGGTAGGTGATCATGGTTCTCCACAACTTCCTATCCTTTGTAGCTCTTAGTAAGGTTTGTCTTTTCGTTATCTCTCCCAATCCCTATACTGCCATTCCATTTACACATGTTCATTAGGTAGGTGATCATGGTTCTCCACAACTTCCTATCCTTTGTAGCTCTTAGTAAGTTTTGTCTTTTCATTATCTCTCCCAATCCCTATACTGCCATCCATTTACACAAGCTCTTTAGGTAGGTTATTCGCTGCTTTCGGAGGTTCAATTTTCCAAAGGCATGAAATTTTACTTAAGCTTCTTTTACAAAATAAGTCTTCTTAATTCACTGGTGAATAATAAGCCCATTCAACATATGCATATAAAGCCATTTCCTTCTCATTCACTTCCAATGGCCTTTTGCTTCTTGGTGGTATTATGTCCTTACTTGGGGTGGTGCCTCTTACTCTATAACCCTCTACTTTGAGTGGCTCTCGGGCCTTGTACAGGTTGGACATCATTGTAATAGGGTTAGTTTTGCCCAACACACGATAATGAAATCGACTGTAGAATTTGCTTGTGTTAGGGTGACCCTTAAACAGTGACCTAAAACTTAATCTAAAATTTTCGCATTTGTACCCTCTTTCTTCTTTAAATAACAACGTGCATTCATACTTATGATTGTTTTTGCAATATTTGGTTAAAGTTGTTAGGTTCGACTATTTTGCTAGGCAATAGGTAAATTTTCACAGGTATTTTTAGCTGTTGAACATGTAAAGAGCTTATTTAATCATTAACTTTAGAATTATGATTCATCAGAAAACCCGTATAGGAAAACCGTGATATTTACACGGGTATTGATGGTATGTTATTATTATAATTATAGTTAAATTGTATTAAATTTAATCTAAATCGGCCATTGTCCTCACCATTTGCGGTTTTTTGAACAGGTTTGTCATTTGTTTCCGATTTAGGATTGGGTTTCCACTTCCTTCTAAATTCTACTTCAACTCTACGTCTAACGTCTCCTCCCGGATCTTTTGAACAGGAGTAGAGGTTTATCCCTTGTTCCCTGTTTAGGATTGGGTTTCCGCTCCCTGTTTCTAAAGTCTACTTCAACTCTATACTTCTTCTGTCTCCTCCCAGTCTTTTTGAACAGGAGTAGAGGTTTATCCCTTGTTTTCTCTTTAGGATTGGGTTTCCGCTTCCTTCTAAAATCTACTCTATACTTCTAACGTCTCCTCCCCTGTCTTTTTAACAGGACTAGAGGTTTATCCCTTGTTTTCTCTTTAGGATTGGGTTTCCGCTTCCTTCTAAAATCTACTCTATACTTCTAACGTCTCCTCCTCGGTCTTTTGAACAGGAGTAAAGGTTTTTCCCTTGTTCTCTGTTTAGGATTGGGTTATCGCTTCCTTCTAAAGTCGACTTCAACTCTATACTTCTAACATCTCTTTCCTGGTCTATTGAACAGGAGTATCGGTCCGTTTGATTTTAAAATAAAAGAAAAAGAAGTGGTAAGTAAATTTCAGGCAGGTTTATTTAGCTGTCTATAACTTAATACTCATTTTTTGTTAACTGCGGTGTTTTTGTGACAAGACTAATCAGAGAAAACCTATAGTGAACTGCGCCATTTTAAAAAAATTGGACTGAATCGAAAATAGATTTTCGTGCAAGGTGAGTAAACGATGTGCTTAAAAAAATATGTCACTGCGTAGCTGTACACCTGAGATCATCCCTTCATATGCCTCGTACCAATTCAGTAAATAAATAAGTAATCAAAAAAGAAAATGTTGTTCGCAGTTGCGTTCATATCTTATGTGTTTTTTAAAGAACCAAGTATGAAACGAACTTATCGATTCAGTCTTCTCGCTTGGAACTGATTTTATGTAATTCCAAAGATCTTTAGATTTTAGAAATCTTTCACTCTCACTTACGCTTATAATCTGCTTGTAAAGACCTTCTAGAATATTCCTTTTTTTTTCCTCTAATGGCAACAAATAATTAGAATTCGATTCTTATGAGCCCCTTGACCATCTTTTTTATGTTCGAATTAATAAAGCAATATTTGTTTTAAACTCGTTTACCTTTTCCCTGTTTGTTTATGTAAATATCTGTACAAATTCAAATATAGTTGATTTTAATTTTTCTTTCGATAGAATATTTCAAAAAAGAGTCAATGACCAGAACTTAAATAAAAAATAAAAGATCTCTTCCTTTAACGTGAGACGAACAGAAAAAAATAACTATTTTATTACACCGTCGGCCATAAAAGAATTTACCTAGTTTTATCTATGTTTTAAAGTTAGATGTTAGAATTTTATGAAATGGAGGTGGGCAAAATAAAAAAGAAGCAGAAAATAAACATGATTGACCAGAAATGAAAAATGTTTTGGCCATCTAAGTTTTCTTCTTTGTATCGTGTCTCTTGAAGTCGTGAGCGATCACGGCTTTCCACAACTTCCTCTCCTTCGTAGTTTAGTATTGGGTTTTTGGTTCCTTCTAAAGCCTTTTCCTTCTCTTTGACTTCCGGTAGCTCCTTGCGTCTTGATGGTATTATCTCCTTGTTTGGGGTGGTGCTTGTTACTCTGCAACACTCTACCTCGAGTGACTCTTGGGACTTGTACAAGTTGAAGATCATTGTAAAAAAAAAAAAGCTCTTAACAATATTTGTTTTTTACCATCTCTCCAAGTCCCTGTTCTGCCATCCGTTTGCACAAGCTTCTAATGTAGATTGCTCGATGTTTTCCTCTATCTCTATCGCCTTCAGCATGCCTTGTGAATGTCAAATTCTCCAAGACTTCTTTCCTCCTCATGTGTACAAAACATTTCACTTGTATGTTTCTAATTCGAAATACAAGTGACCTTTTTGTTTCTGTTTTCCTTAAGACGGTAAATAGATTACTCAGTATGCCCTGGGAGTGTTCAATTTTCCAAGCATTCTTTCCTCGAGATGTCTACATTTTAACTCTTTCTGATTCCAGATATGTGTTCTTTTTTTAAAACTTAAAGAAAAATGGATGTAAAAGGTTATTTATTATACTGAGTACCCGTTTGAAAGACAACGAGCGCCTTTTTTCTTAATACCGCTTACTAAACGCGACTTTTATTTATATTCTTCGATGTTATTGCTCTGTGAGCTGAAATGAAATCATATATCAATTGATACTGTTTTCTTTTTATTCCAGTTGCCTAAGTATGGGATCTACGGTATGTTCATTGGTTTTTCCCTGTCAATCATCCTGCTGACAATTGCCCAGCTAATTTTTTTCTCATTTAAGTAAGTATTCTCGAAATATTTTCAACAGCATACAATGGGGAATTGTTTTGTAGCAAATATATTCTTTTTGTAATGAAAACATTTTCGTCATAAACCATCGTCCCGTCACGTGTTCTGTATGAATCGTAAAGACACCACATGTAGTGCAGTCGTAGCAGAAGTGATACGTCTAGAGTAAGATAGTCTCCAGGCTGGTTTTTGAATTCAGAATTTCCCCTCTTTAGGTTCGTTGAGGCACCACATATGCTACATGAGTAGCAGAAGTGATGCATCTAGAGTAAGATAGTCTGACGGAGCCTATCCATCATCAGATTGATTTTGAATTCAGAATTTTTCCTCTTTAGGGTCGTTGGGGCAGCACATTTACTGCTACGGCTGTAGTAGTGATGCGTCTAGAGCGAGATAGTCTAACGGAGCCCAGCCCTAGTCTGACTATTTAACACACAGCTAAATGAATGAAAAAAACGGGAATCGAACTGCGTATGCCGAATTCACTTTCCGTGCCGACAATATTTGCATCATTTGCACCTCGTATTAACCATAGCGGTGATGTGCAGGTAATGTAACTGTTGGCAACTCGAAAAGAGAAATCAGCAAGCCGAGTTCGATTTCCGGCTGAATTCGTTGCGTTCACTTTTGCAAAAATACCCTTGGGAAAAGTATGAAGCTATCTTTACTCCACCTACACCCAGTCCGTTTATGGACTAAATAGCAGAGTAGACTGGGTTCTCTTGTGTTGAGGTGGCAACCAATCTAAGAGAAGGAAAACTCTGAATTCAAAACCAGCCTGAATAACGATGCGTTCCATCAGGTTATGTTGTCCTAAACATACCACATGTGGTGTTCTACCATGATTGGAGAACTCATGAAGGCGCTTGAATATTTTAACTAGTAATTGCAAAAGTCAAGAACCCAAAATCAAATTAAATAATCACTCTCTTGGTTTTAGGCGGGAACAGTATTTTCAAGGGAGACAAATCCTCACTCTCATAACATTTCCTCATTTTAATTACATCACACAAATGCAATTCTAAGGATAGCTAAAATTTAGTTTTGGATATTGCAAATATGTTTTTGGCTAGATTTCTGGGATGAGGAGTTATCATTATTTACACTATTTACATGAGGACTAGTGTCTTCATCTTTATTGTTGTTATCAAAACATTTCGGCCGTTATACTTGCTTGCATACAATTATATAAAAAATATCAAAAATAAGTCTTTATACTAAGGTCGCTTGTCTTGAGAAAAACTGTTGCACTGGTAATCAACGCGACAAAACGCAGCCAGATTGAATGGAATACAACTGAAACGTGTGTAACATGGCGGTGATCGTGCTTATCTTGGAAATTTCCTTTAATTGATTAGCTAATGGATAAAATGACAGGAGAGTTCCATAATACTTATATTAAACTGTTTGATTAATTGCTCTTATTAGCTAATAATATTAATCAATGATAATAATCTTTATTTTGACGTTGCTGTTATTTTGCATTTCATAGCATTTTATGTATATTTGCTTGATAATTCATTATTATTATTATTATTATTATTATTATTATTATTATTATTATTATTATTATTCAGACAGTTACGCTGTGATCGGATCACCTTGCACAAAAACCTTTTTGCTTCATACATCATGACCGGATTGACGAAAATCATCTTTTTAGCAAGCGTAACTTTAAATGCAAGCATCATTCATTCAAATCCGGTAAGATTTTCCAAAAAAAATTTCATTTTTTAAATGATTGCTTATGTGCGTATTGTTGAAAGTTATAAAATAAATTAATTCCTCTCTTTATTTCTGGTACAACTATTCAGTTGTCATATATCGTTTGAAGGCCTTGTGGAAAATTCTGTATCTCTGAAAATAGATTCCACAGAAATTTACAGAAATTAATATCGTCTAATTTCCAAACTCTTGAATTCCTCGACTCGCTCGACTGAGAAAAAACATTCTCGACAAGAAAAGAAATTAACGATTAAAAATTGACGCAATAAAATAATGAAAAAAGAATAAAAAGGATACAGATTTTAATATTCCAGTTTACATGGAATCTATTAAGGAAAAAAAATCTTTCTCTGCGTTTGGTGGGGGTTTTATAACGTATTCTTAGAAACTGTATAAACTCCAACTGTGCAGCGCTGTAGTAAGCAAATTACTCGCTTGAACGACGCACTGGAGAAAGAAAATCACTTTTTACAAGTAAGGAATTCGACAGGCGATGTTTAGTGCAGGATACGTTCTATTGGTAAGTTGCAAATGTGACATAACAAACAACCCTGAGGCTAAGGGGTCAGTTTTGCTACATACATCGTATTCTGAAGACTTGGTCCATTTAGAGTATCATTCATTTCGCTCAATGCAATACGTCATTTAATGTTAAAGGCTTCCATAATTTGTAGACTTTTTTTTGTAGTTGAATGGCCAATCACATTTGTGTTCTCAACAATTATGTTGCGCATCGAGGTTGTTAGAATTTTCGTTTAAATTGGTCCTCATGGCGCTATGATATCTTAAAAATATGATTCATGATGGCTGCTACGTCGTTGTTGAGTATAAACATCACAAAATATCATTGTAAAACCTAGTTTTGCTTTGGATGGATGTAACTCTTTAAACCGGAAAAAACTGACAGACGTTTTTTTTTTCTTTTTTTTTTGTGATTCTTTGTATGTAAAGACACGCAAAGGATCATAAAACATGTTAGTCAACCAGACCACCAGTTGATTTGCAAAATTTTCCAGAAACAGTTATCTGAATTCTCAATACTTAATATCATTTATAGTTGATTGGTGCTCTGGTAATGACTTAATTTCCTTAGTTTACTCAGGCAGACCTTGCTACAAACATCATAAGTTAGGCCATGCGTGTCCCCTGGAAGTTCTTCAAAACGTTTTCGGCCATTTCTTTTCACCTTTTCTTTCGCACTTTGAAAACTCTCAGAAACAACCTTTCCTTGCATATTTACAAATCTATCATTCTTCCTTGCATTGAATACTGTTGCCATATCTTGTCTGGTGCTAATGCTATTCATCTCGGGGTTCTTGGTTAAATCCCCAAAAAAGGATCTGAAATATAATCGATCCTGACTTGGCATCTCGACTTCAGTTACTTTCTCACTGACATGACGTGGCTTCCCTCATGGTAACTGATCTGACGATCTTTTTTCTCTGGTGCTCCGACTACATGAATTTAAGGTTGCTACTAGATTGGCATTTAGGTCCCACCCGTTTACTGTTGAAATACATAAATTCAACCATCACTTCTGCTCCAAAAGTTTTTTTCTCGCACTTCCCACCTGTGGGACCCGTTTCCGTTTACTTGATTCCCTGATAACTACAATCTTCAAAAATTTAAAAGTAATGTCAATCGCCATCTTCTATCTTCTTGAATCCCGTTCATTTTTTTGTCCTTTCCTCAATCCTCCCTATACTCTGTCTTTTCTCTCACTTTCACTCCCCTGTTGATTACTGGTGTCATTTCCGCCTTGATTGGGGGGGTTAAAAAGTGCCATCTCTTAGTTTATCTTGTTATCTTGTTGGAAAATTTTTTTTTTAATCCGTATCACCTTTACAAAGCAGTAAAGCCAATAAGACACAAGTGGTTATAGGGGGTAGAGGAATTTGGAACAGAAACATTAATAATGACCGAGAAGTGTAATCAGAAGTACAGTAGATAGCGATTGACATTGCATTTAAATTTTTACCGATTAAAGTTTGCTGGAAAGCATGGAGCCGGAAGGGAGTCCCACAAGCGAGAAGTGCGAGAAAAGAAACTGTTAGCATAGAATTTACGGTTACATCTAGCCAGCTCAACTGTAAATTGATGAGATCTCGGTGCCACTCTAGTGCTGTGCTTAAATTCAAAAATCAAAAACGCTTGCTAAAGAATATTTATTTTTTTTAATGCAAGATTATTTTGATGCAAACTATGAATACCTATGTCATCAGCATTTGTTTCGTCATCGTTAGTAACCCTTGCCTTTGGATGGAAACCAAGAGCATTGTTTTCTATTAGTAAGGTTCCTTTGGGATATGTTACAGAATGTTTTAAATGTTCTTGGCCCATTTCTTCACATGTGTACATGCGCAAAGCATATTCGAAGAAGAGATTGTAATGAAAGAGATAATCACCTACCTTGAAAAAATAGTTCGTGTTTTGTGTGCGATCTGCCGAAGAACTATTATTGAAAGTAGTTAGCAAAAATCTACTACTTTAAGTATCCGAATCTATGCTAATGTTCTTTCCTCCCCTAAATGGCGTGGCCAATCAAAAATATCTCTCGGTGAATAAAAGCCGTTGTTTTTCGCTTACAATGGGGATTTTTTTCTGCGCTTGGCGGACGAACACGTGTTTTTGTTGGTGAGAAGTCAAGCTTGGATTTCTGACCCCATTTTGTCGTTTCTACGTTACCTGTTACGACGGACTATCGTTTGAACTGTGAATTGGCTTCAAGTGTTACGGTCGAGAGACAGAAGAAACCTATTGTAGGCATTCATTGCTACTATAAGTTTACATTTTTTTCTTTACCACAACAGACATTAAACGTATTACAGCTCTCATTTCCTGTGTCGTACTCCTGATGAAGTGTGAAATGAGGGGCAAAGGTTTGGTTTGGTTTACGGCATATCAACATCAATGGTTTATTTAATGCTGACAAGATTTTTATTGCTGGTATTTTTTTTCAAAAATGTATTGCTGGTAATAATTTTTCTTCAAAATTTTATTGCTGGTAATAATTTTTCTTCAAAATTTTATTGCTGGTAATAATTTTTTGTGCTATTAAGACCTATTTTTACACTTTCATAGTATTTTGCCCTCAGTTTGGGGTTTAACTATTTACCCATAACTGGGACCCCTAACAGGTTTTACCATGCCGGGTCAGGTTGGTCCTGGGAGCATCAGCAATTAAGAGGTGGTCCCACGCTCCTCAAAACCTCCTTCCTGTTGGACGTAGTTTATCGTCTTACCCAGAACGCGGATGTAGTTTATCGTCATACTCAGGACGGTGAGGTGCAAAAAATTATCCGTTCCATTAGTTTCTTTGCCTAATTACTCCACTCTTGAATCCCAGAGACTTCTGCATGGTAGAAAAAGGATGATTCTCTCAAAGACCACAAGATCGATTAAATCACTTTCTTGTCGGAGTATTTTATTTCGTTTTACTTTTTGAGATAATTTAACAAACGCTGACGTCATCGTTAAAAGTACATTGCCATTTCTAACCCATCTCCCGATTGTGCAAAAAATGAACATACACGAATTAATTAATTAATAAACACCTGTTTACTTACTTTTTACTTTTTTAATTTACTTATTAGAATTAATTTATATATTAAATTTATATTGCTTCTCATATTACATATTAATTTGGGCACTTCAACGTGTTGTAATGCAAGCTTGTCTCGCTAGATCAACTAGGACTGGGAGGTGAGATCGATCCTCACTGAGTGCCCTCAACCATTCGGCCTTGTGCTATAAGTTACGCTTAGAGCTCTTCAACATGGTGTAATGGTTAGTAAACTTGTTTCGCTAAATCAATTACGACTGAGTAGTGAGTTCGATCCTCACTGTGTGCTCCTAAACTTTCGGCCTTGTGCCGCATCTGAGCTACGCTTAGAAAATCACCATGTCAATTTCTAAACATAATTTTCTCGAAAATTCGTCATATAAAGTTATCGTCAGACATAAAAAAAAAACTAAAAAACGAATCTCTCCCATTCGTTACATTAATGTCTATTTTTCTCCGGACTTCGTCAATCACCAACGGCCAGCGTGTGTGGCTTTGGCGCCTTCACCGAATGTGGATCCTATATTCTTGTGTGGTTGTAAGCTCTCTTCTCTGGTGTGGGTGTTATATATATATATATATATATATATATATATATATATATATATATATATATTTACCATACTGTCTTTCCCATGCGTACAAATCAATCTTCGACTAAAGCTCAGATCTCCACCCGCTTCTGGGAGTCCATGCATCATGTCAACTCTGCATCTAGTTTCTTTGACGGCCTGGTGTGAAATTGAGTGCAAAGTATATTCTGGCATTATATGGGTTGAGTCATATACGGCAGTTATTTTAAATCTAATCTCTGCATAGCAAACACATTCGTGATGTTGAAGAGAAAAGTACACTTATTGAAAGACAGAAATAATATTTTGGAAAGAAACCTTGAATTTAATTAATTTTGTTATCTCACGTCGTCATAATTTGACTTCATCAATTTTTACAGTCCGCGTGTTCTTCGTTATTTCAGCCGAACGTTACGGCTGATGCACTTCTTGAACCGGATAATCTGCAAAAGACTTTCGAACGAAACTTTCCCTCGTTATTCCGGGGCGAACACTGTTGTTCTAATGCTTTGTTCTTAACACAGCCATCTTGAATCAATGATTTGATTAAAATCTCAAGTTGTTTGCTATCTTCTTCTTTCAGATTTGGTGTCGAATCATTCCGATTATCCAAGAATACGCAGTCACATGCAACTTTGCCTGGATGCTTTGTGAGGGGTTCTATTTACACACGGTTCTTGTCTGGCCTTTCCACACGGGCAAAAAACTAATCTATCTTTGTTACGGCATTGGCTGGGGTAAGATGCACATACTACGCATGTTTGTTGCTACTCAAGTCCTTATAATTATGCTTAAACCTCTCCGGCAAATTACAAAACGGCCAAAATTTACCATAAATAGTTTTCCTCTTTCTCATAGCCGATGATTGTACATCTGTCCTGAAATTGCGCATCATCATACCCTCCTATGCAGGAAGAGTTTAGCATGCTTTCTTTGTTTCTAATAAAATCATCCTACGTCTCAACACTTTGCTTAGTTTTTGACAAGCGTCTTTTGCTATGTGCTTCGTTTTTTACTTCACTACCCAGATAATTACATTTCTGTAGCTGATAGATTTTGATGTCTTTAATTTGAAGCGCATGTCTTTGGCTGTCGGGCTTATGACCATATCACGTTGAAAACACCGAATCACCGAAATTAAGCAACGTTGACCCCAGCCAGTACCCAGATGAGTAACCGCTTGGGAATGCCAGGTGCTGTAAGCTTGGATTGGGCAAGGGTTAACAGTAAGGAATTGGAAATCGGAGAACCGAGTTTCAATTCCAATCGGGTTCATTATTTTTACTTACGCGCTAATACCTTTGGAAAAGGTATCCACACAACTCTTTCCCCCAGTCATGTATCATTAAAATAAGTAAGTATCTCCAAAAAAATCTTACAATCCAAAAATAATTTCTGGATTGAAATAACATTCAAATGACTGATAAGCCGAAAATCAATCAACTTAAGCTGTATTTCTTTCTGAGGACCATGAATTCTATCTTTTTATAATTAATAGTTAGTCCTTTCTTCAAGCTTTCTTTTACTAACTTCTGTGGGTTTTGTAGTTTTCCTTCTAAGACCGCCATCAGTACAGTGTTATCCGTTTATACTCTCAAGATTATAACCGATAACAATAAATCCCGGTAGGACTTCTAGATTTCTTAGGATCGTCCAGCTTCATCGGTTAAATAAATCTGGTGAAAAAACACATCATTTTCTTACTCTTCCACCAATTATATTCTTTATGTACTTGCTTAACCCGTTTCCTATCTGCATGCAAGAGGTTTGTTGACCAGTAAATATTGAGAAGTATCCTAATAACTTTCCCGTATAAGTCGAGCTTGCTTAGCAGTTCAAATAGGTTTTCATGTCGTATTGTATCAAATGCTTTTGAGTAATCTACGAAAAATAGGTGTATATCTTTATGCATTTGCATTGCTCGTTCTGGTAGTGAACTATTTAATTATACAGGATATGATAGAAATACCTCGCACATATACCGTCTTGAAATACACCCCGCATTAGCTAATGTCTTAATGTGAGCGGTATTTCTGCGAGATCTGATGAAGTATTTCTTAATGCGGGCGGTATTTCAAAAAGAAAGCTAAATCCTTACAAGATTTACAAAGTTATAATTGAAGGAATATTACCAACCCAGTATTTATCATTTATATTAATGAATATTACCAACCCAACATTCGTTCATCTTAAAAGCGGCCGAATTGAGAAAAGCTATAAAATAAAGTAATGATTTTTTTTTCTCTCATTTCATAGCTTTCTTAGTTTTGTTGTATTTCATTTACCTGAGCATGTGATTGAATAAATGTTATTAACGTTGGTTTGTTTGCATGTTTATCCAGATTATTTGTTGAAGTATAATCCAGTTTTACTTTTCTCTTCTTTTGTTTATTTTTTTTTAGGAATACCGTTTTGGTTGGCGTTATTTTACGCCATTTTCCGGTTTCAAAGCAAGATGAACAGACTGTAAGTGAAAATAAATACACGCGAACGCATGCGCACAAACACACGTACACAGACGCACATGAAACAATTTTCGAACAAAATCAAAATAAAATTAAAAGATAACAATGTTTTTTTTTTTTTTTTTTCATTTGTTTACAGTCTACTGAAACATCTAATTAAATCTAGAAAAATGAATGCGGGAATTAACAAGAGTTTGTGTTTGTGTGTGTTACAAATATATGTAGCTTATATAGTTATATCACGTTGAAACACTGGTTATCGTTCGATCGTTAAGCAAGGTTGAAGCTGGTCAGCACCTAGATGGGGGACCATTCGGGAATACCAGATACTGTAAGTTTGGATGTGCGAGTGATGTAATGATTAACGACCCGGACTGAGAAGTCGGAGAGCAGAGTTCCAATTCCAGTCGGGTTCGTTATATTCACCTACCTGCAAATACCTTTTGGAAAGGTATGAATTCACCTCTTCTCCTTCTAGGCCAAATAGTTTGACATGTATTGAAAATGAGATGAGGATTTACCTTTAAGTCGATACAGAAAAGCTAGGAAAATATATTAACAACTTTCGACATGAACTAAGAATTATAAAGGAAAGATACAGAATAAATATTAACGGGTTTTTTTTTAAATTCACTCATTTTCTTTCTTTTCTTTAATCACGATAAACGTCAACTTAGGGGAAAAAAGTACTATAATTCATTATTTAAGCATATACACAAATACACATAAACTCATTTCTTTCTTTCGTTTTTGAATGTGATGAAGCCTAGAAAGGCGAAACGCGTAATCAAATCTATTTTCAGTGAAACGTTTTTCCATTTGCCAAAGTTCTTGAAAAAAATTGTCGGCATTTTATAACCTATTTTAGTTACACACACAAACACACACACACACGCACGCTTTCACATACACACACACACACACACATATTTATATATTATAATAAAATATAGTTTTAAGGTATTATTTATGGGTTAAATTACTCAATATCAGGGTTAGAGCGTATGTAAATATAAAAGTGGACATGGAAGTCAACAACCAGAGGCGACAGTCTGTCTAATACTTAACGCAATCGTCAGGCCTGATGATTGCGTTTACCAAGAAACAGACTGTGGCCTCTGGGTGTTGACGTCAATGTCCATTTATTTATTATATATATATATATATATATATATATATATATATATATATATATATATATATATATATTTTAAATAAAAACAGACCACTTTAAGGTTTCGTGTAATAAATTATTTCACCACAGCACTTTTAAAGGACCATATATATATATATATATATATATATATATATATATATATATATATATATATATTGTGTATATTTAGGCAGCATATTTCCTTTCAAACAGGTTTGGTTAAATAATTTAAACACATCATGTCGATTAGATTTCGTTGTGATCATTTTCAGGTTCGCGGTTTAATTTTTTGCTAGATTTAGAAAATTGAGTAAGAAAAATACCAAAATTTTCTTTTGAATAATTTTTATTTTCCCCAAGTACTTTCAATCTCATCTGAGACCATCTTCAGGGGGTTAAGTTGCCTGTGATTATGTATATGTGCTTCTGTGAATTTAAATCATTTCAATTGTTCGTTTGTTTACTGCTTATGCAGCATTCTAAATTTCAAAGTTCACGTGTTCTTTTGGGGTTTTTCCAGTATAAGGGAAGTAACATATATTTTTTTTTGTTTTGTTTTTGCACATAAATGTATTTCCTTTCTTTTTTTCATGAGCATTTAAGAACCTTACTGTTATTCTTATAGTTGACTTTATTTATACTGGGCTTCAACTCTCTTATATAAATGTCTTCAAGGATTTTAGTTTTTGTTTATTATTGTGTTTATGTAATATAGATGTATTTTCAACTAATATCCGTTTAGTCTGTGAGTGTGGGCATGAGTGTTCCTTTAAGTGCTGATATATTGAGCTATGTTCAGCCAAATGAAATGTAAGTCTTTATGTTAGTAAATATTAACTACTGAAGCTGCTTCAGGTTTTCCCGAAGTCCAGCCTCAAACGGACATGCCAAGCCACGCTCTGGCATCACCTCCAAAGAGTACCCCCAACTTGCTCAGTTCTGCTTTATCCTCTTCGCTCAACTGTGTATATACGGCGAAAGCTCCACCGGTGTCTAAGAGGGAAAACTTACCCGACCCCATAGAAATCGCACGCAAGTTCAGCTTCTTCTATTGACTCGACAATGGAAGCAGATTCGTCGAACTCTGGGTTTAATTTAATGTCGAACTTTCCGTCGGATATTTTGCCGAAGTAGCTTGTTAGAATTCAGCTTTCTTATCGACCAGTTTATTGTGTGCACACCTGCATTCTTGTAGTAAACATTTCGCAATAAAAACGAAACTGGCGCTTTCAGTCAGAGGTTGTGGCGTGTAACGCACTGGTGCAACACTGCTTAATTCAGTAGATCAGACAACATCTGCATTAGTGTTAGATACGTTCTCTGGGAGTTTCGGGTACCAGTCTTTCGTTTTGGTGAAAGTGCCACCTGCCTAACTGTCCCGTGTGTTATTTGCGTTAGACCTCCTCCCCCGCCACATTCTTCTGGTGAAAGTGTCATCTACATTTTTATTGCCAAATATTCATTATGAGAGTGCAGGTGTGCACAGAATTACTGGTCGATACAAAAGTTGAATTCTAACAATAAATGTAATTTCATCTAAAGTTTGAATAGAAAAAAGCACTGTAGTTCGGCATAAGAAAAAAAACCTCACACAAATACAAATTTGTATAGCGCATGCGTCTTGGTATTATTATATTTTAATCTGCAACAATATTCAAATATGTCGGGCTATTGCTTCGATGATTGGATCAAAACTATATTGTTCTATATTGTGTAAAAAAAAAGAAATTGAATTGCTTGTTTCAGAGACGCTCGAGATTGCAAATATTTGTAATCTTCGGTTTCATTATTTTCTTTATTATTATCATGAGTAGTAGTAGTAGTTTTAACAGGTGAAAATTTGCCAGTTTTGCAAGTTTAAATTTCTGATGAATCTTAAATCTTGAGTTAAGAATTGAATAAGCCCATGGCAATAAAATATTCTTAGAAAAAATATAAAAATATTATAATTTAAGCTTAACAACTTTAGCAAAATATTTAGCAGTTAGTATATATATATATATATATATATATATATATATATATATATATACTAGCAGGAGAGCCCGGCGTTGCCCGGGGATGTAACAGTAAGAGATAGATCAAGTATCGACCATCATAAAGACTGAAAAATAAAATTGACAAAGATTATTGTTTAAGGTTGACGGACACGCATGTCTTAATTAGTTTTTTTTTTTTGTTTTTTTTTGGGGGGGGTTACGAATTGGTCAAACCCAAACTCAAACAAAAACATTGTTTTCAATCGTTATGAGTCAACCGATTTAATAGAATTTTATTATAAACAATTGTCTTGTAAATAGAATTTTTAAAGCATTCTGAATAAAAATAAAGAAAAAAGTGTGCAAAACAATAAGGAACACTACTGCCAAAAAAAGGGAAGTTTTGTTGAAATCGGTTGAAAAATGTAGGAAATCCGATCCCATATATAAACACACACACACACACACACACACACACACAACCTGGGTTTTATAATAAGTATAACTCGATATGTCGCCAGAATGAAGGGGTGTCCCCCCTTCATTCTGGCGACAGAATCGTGTTTTATCGTGTTTTCAAATTGATTTCGTGCAAAAACAATTGAATTTTTTCCAATTTTTGGCGCTGTCAGAACCACCGCAAGGTAATTTTACGCAGTCCTGTGAAGTTTTGTTGAAATCGGTTGAAAAATGTAAGAAATCCGATCCAATATATAAACGTACAGACACACATACACACACACAATCTGCGTTTTATAATAAGTAAGATATATATATATATATATATATATATATATATATATATTGAGCAAATTAATGACTAAGTGGAAAAATTGTGGTGCATTTCTTCCATTAAAACGACTTCATCAGGCAAATGTTTTGTTGATGGGATTATATATGTGCAGAAAAGAGAGCGGGCGATATAAAAACGCAAGCGTTGGTTATAATTATCATGAGGCAGGAAAGACTGAAGATGTTGGAAACGCTGTAATTTTAAACTTAGATATAAATTTCCTAAAGAGAGCGCATGAAAATTCATCCTCTTTTCATTAAAGAACTCAATAATGTAAAACAGACGCTAGTTAACAATGGTTTTCCTATCTCATCGATCACCAGGTTAGATTATTTCTTTCTAAAGTAATTAATAGTGATACTGAACATACAAATAAAAACAATAACATCTTCTACAAAAGCCAAATACATGTTAATTATAAGCGAGACAAATTTTCTCTTAGAAATATCATAAATACACAACCCCAGTCGACCTGATCAATAACAGTAGATTATCTATTACAAAAAATTAAAACATTTAACTTATCATCAAAAATAACAACACACTCGCAAAATCTAGAACAAACATTATTTACGAGTTCAAATGTCCCTTAAACTGTGTTCCTGATCAAACTAAACTCATAAATAATTACATTGGTCATACAACCACATCTTTGTCTAGACGACTCAAGTTGCACCTACTCGATCTTAGCTCAATTATTAAAAGACACACAAAAACCTACCAAACTCCATCCGAAACATGCTAGTAGAAAATCAAGTATAATAATCTCATCCACATGTTAAAAAAGATTAAAAAATAATGGAAACACTAAATAATAAAAAGGAAAAGCCAACACTCAATGACATTAACTATGAACACGGTTTCAATGTGCTGACTGTGTTTGGAAAATAAAACATTCCCGTAATTTCAGACACATACATAGAAACCCACCCATTCAGTTAATTTTTTTTTTAAAATTCGCTCTTGATAATTGCTAAAAGAATTGCCGATAGCGCTCGGATATGCAGAACTTATGGACAGTTTTTACACATTTGTACGAACACAAGAAAACACGTGTACGAACACAAGAAATA